GTAGATAATTTGTAAATATTATATCTTACACGTGATTATCTAAATAGCCACAACTCCGTGAATTATATCCTATAACTTATCATCAATGTTATCCAAGAACATTCATAAGGATTCCATGCAAAAATGACAGGTTACTCTCTGGCCAATCGTATGATTATTCAAATGGAAGTCCCAGTGCACTTAAGAGTAAGCTGGATGGAGAGTCCTCCTCGAGTAGAGATCTCCACTTGAAAAGTTATGAAGAAACTAGATGAGGTATAGCTGCTCGGAATTATTATATATGTGATTATTATTATGTAAATCAGTCTGCACATGCGTAATTAAATAATCAATTGGCATGTTTATTATTATCGTCGACAATTCTATCTCAATTTTGCATTTATTTGTCACGTTTTTTTTTCCAGCGCGTGCAACAGGTATAATCAACGAGATAGACTTTTTTTTATTCTTGTTTAGCGATTCTATATTGTAGGAATTATTAATTTTAATTAAATAGTTACCATGACGTTAATATCTTGTTCTCCTTACGTGATATAGATCTCGTTCCTTTTTTCAAGCCAAAAGTAAGGAACTTGTTCAATTAAATATACATTATATACCTTTATATTTTTTTTCGATTATGTATGGATAAATATTTATATTAATTATCGATATTATTACAAATCTTCCAACTTAGATCAATAGATCGTTCACTTTTCATAAAAATAAACTTTTCATAAAAATAAAACTTTCCTCCTTTTTACAATATGTATTCGTTATTAACCTTTTATTCAATTTCAAATTTTAAATTTTTGAATCCATTAAAATATCGAGGCATCTCTTTTCACTTATTACTATTTACTTACGAAAATATTAGCTCAACAGAAAATGACAGCTAATGAAAGACGAAAAGAAAATTTAAAGAAATTTATAGTGTATTTTTTGGGTATGAAATTACACGCTTCGCTGAGTCTAAGAGCGATTCTTACCGAACTTAGCCGATGACTCCCGAATATACTCGCGAATATAACCGAATATAATCGCGAAAAGAAATCGAATAATAACAAATAAATACTTCCAAATATTGTGTAGTTTATTTTTATTTTATTTATCTATTGTTGTTAGTGTACTGATACCGTACAATAAGGTAATAATCTTTCATGTTATATAAACATAGAATATTTTTATGCCCATGTACAACAATTATATACAAAAACGGTATACGCGACAAGATATTTGCTATCTTTAGTCTCCACAAGCTCATCGTTGCGCTGATATCGTTTGAACAAATGAGGGTATTTTTATTCGGTAAAAAGGGGTCGGAAGCATTTCTTACCGCATTAGCATGCAACGAGTATAATTTTCGTGCGATATTTGATCGTTTATAAAAGTGCAAACACGGCTCGTTGATGTACGAAGGTTGATCCCGACAATTTGACTTATTCGAGCGGCGAGACGATAAATTTCCATTTAATTTATTCGGTCTCGAAACGCTCGAGTGGCATTCACGGTATACACGGCTGTCATTATACGAAATTACGTGACAATTATTGCTATCGGGGAACCCTGATCACGAGGGGACATCGATGTCGCGCTACATAATTCCAGTTACGAGAAACGTGTACGTTGAAAACTTCGATCGAAGATTTTTTTTTTCTTTTCTTTTCTTTTCTTTTTTCTTTTTTCTTTCAAGTGAATTATAACTTATTTTTATTTCACCTCTTCTCAGTCTCCTCGCGTCGACGGTAACTTTTTAAGAAGTTAATTGTCGTGTGTCATCTGTTGTTTAATAAAGACAGATACCGCTACTCGATCCTCGATTATCGTCCATTAAAGTAACACGGAATTGCTATCGAGTTATCGAGCACGCATTTATAATCGGATCCGCGACGATAAGCTTGTATCACCTGGCTTTCGAAATTACCGTCATTACCGCCATTAACCCTTTGCTCTAGAATTATTTTTAAACCCGATACTCGACTTTACAACTCTGTAATTTATTTCCGTGTATATATATACACATTTTATTCGTGCTTTGGACATTTTTTACGCGCATTGATACACGGTGTTAACTAAATACCTGTTGACGGAAACGAGAACGAGACGAGGTAATATGAATCATCCTGCTCTGGTAACATGAGTCACGGACAAAAAAGGTTGGAGGATACGTGAAGGATTTTATATCATGTTGTATGCAATATAAAAAAAAGAAACGGTTTTATTGCCATATAATTTGTTTATGTATAATTTTTTGATACATCTGGTAATCAACACTCGAGCATGACTATCTATAATTCATTAGATGTTAGCGGATAATGTTTCGAAATTCATTTTTTTTAATGTTAATTCAATTAAATTTCTTATCTAGCTGATTATCTTATTATTATTATGTGTTTGAATCACTTGAAGTTTCATTGACAAGATCTCTTATCTATGCTTTCGTCAAAAGCATCATTAATCGAGTCATTATCGAACAATCGATGATGTGTTTTACAATATTTATTCACGTCGATCGTTTTTTTTTTAGGAAAATTTTTTTGAAAATTTTGTTTATATATATATATATCTTTTTTATTAAATCTTTTATGTAAGAATAAATATTTTTCATTATTTTATATTTTCTTGAAATTGATTATATTTTCACTTCTCTTCTTATGAATTATAGATTCTATTTCTAAAAAGTTTATCAACTTTTTCATAATTTTTTTCCGCTTTCTTATACTTTCTTTAAAATTTATATTTTGTATTTAAAAATACATAAAAGCAGGATACGCATTTTCATTATTTCATTCACAAAATATGCCAATTTTCAGATTTAATTTCAACTTATCCCATAAATCGATATTCGATTTCCACAACAGAAATCCTGTCGCATTTTTCTATCGTTCCCTAAAAATTTATAATATCCGATAAACTCGACACTGAGAAAAAAAAATTGAAAATTTTTCAGCTGCTGGTGAGCGGCGGGCAGCCAACAACGGCGACGTCGCCGGC